CGGTGCTGATGCCGGTGCTGATGCCGGTGCTGATGCCGGTGCTGATGGTGCCCGCCCGTCCCGGCAGCACACGTGGGGGCGGCAGCGCGCAGAGGCAGACCGGCCGTGCGGGGCCCTGCTCCGCACCCGGTGCTGCAACGGCACGGCTCCCAGCGCCGCGCGGTGCCGATACCGGGAGGACGGGGCCGCCGGGCCGTCAGCCCGCCCGCTCGATGCGGTGGAGGGCGCAGCGCCGGGAGCGCTCGGCAGGTGCGCGGCAACGGCGGGGGCGGTGCGGCCCCGGCGGTGCCGGCGGGCTGGGGGCAGCCCTCGGTTGGATGTGCACAGCTGGGTTAGATGTGTGCCGCCGGGACGCGGTCACACCGGGAACGCCTCGGGCCAGATGTGCATCCCGACACCTCCCTTCTCTGCGGCGTGAGGGGGCATCCAGATGTGCACACGCATCCAGATGTGTGGGTGCATCCAGATGTGCCCTCGCTCAGCCCCCCCAGCACACCCTCACCCAGCTGTGCTCTGCCGGCCCCCAGCCCTGCGCTCACCCAGATGTGCCTCCTCCAGATGTGCCTCCGCCAGCCCCCGAGGACGCACCCTGTGTCCCCATGTGCCCCTTCCCCATCTCTGCCTGCGTGCCCTATGAATAACACCTGGAGTCCTGCTAACCCTCCTCCAGCTCTAACCACCTTTACCTCCTCTCCCTCCTCCTCCTCCTCTGCAGTTTGATGCTGAGTTCCGTCGCTTTGCTATGAAGCGCTCCAGCGCGGGCACCTTCCAGGACTTTTACAGCCTACTGCAGAGCGTGCATCAGATCCCCCGCGTGGATGTGCTGCTGGGCTACACTGACGTGCACGGCGACCTGCTGCCCATCAACAACGACGACAACTACCACAAGGCCCTGTCCTCCGCCAACCCCCTTCTCAGGGTCATCATCCAGAAAAAAGGTCAGTGGCGGCCGGAGAAGGGCTGGGATCCATTCCTTGGGATGCGTGGGGCGAGCGGCAGTCCTCATGCTGGCCTTGTTCCTCTCGTTGTGCTGGGGGATGGTTTGGGAGGAGGTGACACCACGGCCACATTTCACCTCTTGGAAGTCGTCTTTGCAGCCAGGCTGGTGTGAGCTCCATGCAGAGCAGCTTCCTTGTGCTGGACTGTGAAATAGTTATATATACTATATATATATAAATATATAGAGGCATCCCAAGTGCAGCTGCATGGGATGGACCCTGAGCACTGCGGTGGTTCTAGCTCATGTTGTCGGCCCAAAGTCCCCACATGAGGGGTGATGTTGTGCTGCTGAGCCAGGTACCTGTGCTCCTTCAGGGGTTTCCTCCAGGGCCACTCAAGCAGCTCCAAACCATCCCCTCCTGCACTAGGGCTGCAACACAGGGCAAGAACTTGGCAGAGGGTCTGCAAGGGGCACATGGAGAGGCCAGGAGTGAGCCCTGGGTGAGTCACGGCTGATTTAGAATGGATCCAGGTCATTCCAGGGCTGGGCTGTAGTCAAACCAGTCCCCAGGTTGGTGAGGAACACAGGCAGCTGCAGAGCTTCCTTCACACACTGGGTGCAGGGGGAGCATGCACGCAGTGTGTCTGGATGTGTGGGTTTTGGAGTCCTATGCCATGGGGTTGAGAAGCAAAAGCCACAACACGTTGGCTCCCCATGCCACCACTCACATGCAGAGGCAGTGGAGTCCCATTGGTGCCCAGCTGGGGACAGGCACTCAGCCCCAGGGCTGGGCTCAGGCTCACTGGAAGGGCAGGAGGATGCCCGGTGCATCCCCAAGGCACCAAGCGGCACAACTTGGCTGCCTCTCACCCCCCAGAGAGCAGCCATGTGCTGAAATAGCTGTGGGAAAGCCTCCACCGCCCTTCCCCAAGCTAAAAATAAGGCAGGCGGTGAGTGCAGGGAGATATTTATAACCCAGGAGCCCTGGCAGGCCAGCTCGTCCTGGGAGAAACCCCATGTGCCCGTGGTGCCAAGGACTCCCCTGTGTCCAGAGCAGGATCTGGTGCTGGTGGGGAGCTCTTGCACTTGGCAGCCCCTCCCATGGGTGCTGCACTGCATAGAATGCTGCCTTCCCCTTGCTGTGGCGCTGGGGCCAGGCTTTCTCAGCGTCCTCCTGAGGTCATGCTGGGACTGGGTGATTTCTGTATTGGTGGCTGAACACCCGCTGGTTCTGCAGGCTGGGCACTGAGGATGCTGATAAGCCCTATGCAGCGCTGGAAGGATGCAGTGGCAAAAAGCATCCAGATCTGAGCTCCCCCATGGAGAGGGGTGGAGAGAAACCAGAGAGAGCCCTGGGGATGCTCCCTGGCCCCTAGGGGATGCATTCCAGGGAAGGACGTGGGGGAGATGGCACCCATTGAACAACCCCAGAGCGGTTGGCTGGGGGGAATGGAGCCAGACCCTGCTGGGGGGTCTGCAGTGCCTGGAGATGGAATAAGAAGTGCTGGCAGGATGCACGGGTTGGGAGGTCCGGGGCTGTGGGGACACTGGATGGGACACTGGGAGATGGGCGTCCTGCCTGTGGGCTTGTGGCAGGGCTCTGGTCCTTCTGCTCCAACAGGGATAATGTGGGGAGCTGGTGTGTGTGTGCCCCAAACCAAGGCACAGCAGCGGCCCCCAGGCTGGCAGAGCCGGCAGCTCAAGCGTTAAGCCGCAGAGCTTGGCTTAAAGTGTGATTAAGGCTGAATCACCGCCTGGATCCCACTAATCCCAGCCGTGTGTACACTGGGTAATCCCAGGAGATGGGCCCAGAGGAGACAGGAAGAGCCGGGCCGATGTTTGGTGGGGAAGGCTGGTGAGATCGCAGCTGCTGCGCGGTGCTGAGCGCCGTCTGACCGCCGTCTGACCGCATCCCCTTTTGCTCCCCACAGCAGAATCAGACGCCGCCGTCTTCGCCTCCAACTCACTGCAGAGGAAGAAGAAGGGACTGCTGCGCCCAGCGCACTGCCGGGCCAAACCTCACCTCCTCATCGGCATGCCCCAGGACTTCCGCCAGATCTCCTCCATCATCGACGTGGACATCCTGCCCGAGACGCACCGCCGCGTGCGCCTCCACAAGCACGGCTCCGACAAGCCGCTGGGCTTCTACATCCGCGACGGCGTCAGCGTGCGCGTGGCCCCGCAGGGCGTCGAGAAAGTGCCCGGCATCTTCATCTCCCGCCTGGTGAAGGGCGGCCTGGCGGAGAGCACGGGGCTGCTGGCGGTGAGCGACGAGATCCTGGAGGTCAACGGCATCGACGTGGCCGGCAAGTCTCTGGACCAGGTGACGGACATGATGGTGGCCAACAGCCACAACCTCATCATCACCGTCAAGCCGGCCAACCAGCGCAACAACGTCATCCGTAGCAGCAAAGCCTCGGGCAGCTCGGGGGTGTCCACAGACAGCACCCCGAGCCAGCAGACCCCCAGCCCGGCCTCGCAGTACCTCAGCAACTACAGCACAGCCGAGAGCGACGAGGAGGGAGACCTGGTCATCGAGAGCGACGGCGCGCCCCATTACGGCCCTGTGGGCTGCCCCAATGGGGGCCCTGCTGACGGACCCCTCCCGCCCAGCCTGTCCCCACACAGCTCGCAGGGCTCCCTGCAGTCCCTGGGCAGCCACGACGGCAGCCCCGGCCGGGGCAGCGTGCGGGAGGACGGCACCCTGCTCACCCTATAGCCGGACTGCTTGTGGGCACCGGGGCGATGGGGCCGAGTGGGGCTGCCTCTGCCCTGTCCTTGCCCTGGGGTCTGCTCCTGCCGGGCACTGCCCATCTGAGCCCCTCACCTCCCTTCTTCCACCCACGTGGGTTTTTTAATTATTTTATCAAAGCGTGCATCATCAAGTAATATATTGCAATGGACAGTAAAACCTTTTCTAGAAAACACCCCGTTTGTCCATCGTTCGCGTCGCTGCAGGGGCCAGCAGTCTCCATTCAGGACAGCAGATGGGTTTGGTGCTGTGTGATGGGGCAGCTGTGTCCCTAACAGTTCTGCACACACGTGGCTTTGCTGCTTTTCAGGGGGGCCCAGCAAGGCTAATTGCAGAGCTATCCAACACTACGTACTCAGGCTGCTTTGGGCACGGCGAGCCCCTGTGCCCAGGGCAAACGTGGGGTCCTGATGTAGGTGCTGCTGTGTGGTGATATCTGTCTTACAGGAGAAGGACCCACAGCTCTCCAGGACTGCAAGGGCTGAGCCGGGCGCAGCTCCTTGTAGCCACTGAGCTGGGCCCCAGACAGGCAGGCAGGAGACAGATGCAGACAGCAGAGCTGGTTAGTCCGGGCTTGCTTATGGCAGGGAGTGCAACTGCAGCAGGGCTGGGGCTGCTCGCAGCGCAGTGGCAATGCCCTGAGGAGAGCCCCAAGGAGGTGTGGGGCCATTTTCTGGTTGGTACCTCGCCTCCTCCAGCCCCAAGCAATGGGAGCTTCCTTGGGGCTTGGCAGCAGTGCTATCCCCCAGCAGTCTGGGGCACAGGATGAGGCTGCAATGTCTCACCACCCTGATAAGCCCAGATCCTGCCTTGGGATGAGGGAAAGCCCGCAGCAGTGCAGCATTTGTCCCATGGTGGAGACTTTCCCAAGCAAGCTGGACAAGGCCCTGAGCTGTGGATCTGGCCCTGTTCTGGGCAGCAGATGGACCAGAACCCTCCAGTGATGCCCTTTGGGCTGAAACTTCCTCTGCTCCACAAAGGAAAGAGCTTTTCAGAGCTGCTGAAAATCCTATGGGGTATTTGATGGTATGCAGGCAGAGCTCACCTGCACAATGGCACCTGCCCTGTCCTCTGGCCACTTCAGGCCACCCCCTGTGAGGGTCTTGCACCTCTCCTCCTGGCAGCATCACATCAGCACTGCTGCTTTCTGCTGCCCACCACCACTCCTGAGGCCCTGCTGAGTCCCCCGAGACACACCAACGGAGGAAAACTACAACTTTATTGAAGTGCATCCCACTCCACAGACAACAACAGCTCCAGACACCTCACCAGGTTCCCCTGCTTCCACCCCAGCCCTTCTCTGGGCAGGAAGCACTGGAGCTCTGTGCCTTTTTGCTGTCCTTGAGCTACCGAGCGCACGCAGCAGGACGGAGGGGACAAAGGCACCGGCTGCGTGCTTGGGATGGGTCAGCACAGAGCCCAGAGCAAAGGCCCTGGGTGCAGCGAAGCCTGCAGTGCCCTGGGGGAAAGAGGACAACCAACAGCAGAGCAGCAGCACGGGGGACCTCCTGCCAGTTTCTAGAAATGGAAAAATAAGAAGCCACGAGATCTGTGCCATCAATTCCAAGCAGACAGCTGATCTCTGTGAGAAGTCAACCAGCACGGGGACAACTGTTCTCCACACTGCACAGCAGAGTCAATTAGCTCCTCTCCCTCCCATTTCCCTGGATGTGCCCTGGGAGCAAGAGCAAGAGGTGCCAACTGCGTGTTGGACACAGTACTGACACCACTACGGGTGCAGGGTCCTCGATTGTCTTCCTCTCCTTCCCTTCCCTGGGATGCTCACGCAGAGCAGCACGCTGCTTGCAGCCCCATGGGCTCAGGAGTCCAGCTTGATGAAGACTTTGGGCCTGGAGAAAATTTTGAGTGCCTCTTCAATCTGGGAGAGCTTCCTCTCGAGCTCTACTCGCCTCTTCTGAATGCTGAGGGTGTCTGCACGCATCGGCAGCATCACCAGGTCCTTTATCAGCTGCTCCTGGCCTGGAAAAGACAAAAAGCTGTGTGACTGGAAGATAAATTCCCTTTTTTTTTTCCGCTAACACTACAACCTCACTGTTCAGCTGTTAAAATGGTAGCAGCATGGGAGCAGGGACCTGGAGAGAATACCCATCCTTGGACTGAAACCGCAGCTGGAGGAGGACCAAAGCTCCAGCTCTAAGGTGCTCCTACTTTGAGCAAGGGTTGGACTAGAGACCCCCAAAGATCTCTTCCAACTAAAAATATTCATTTTAAGTACAATAGTAACCCTAATGTCAGGTCCCCTGGGCCAAGCCTGTTCCAGGTCCCACCATGCCATAGGATTGCTCTTTCTGCACACGCAGCTCTAGTGCAGGGATTACTGGAACACCCCAGCATCTCTCCAAGAGGCAGGAAATCAGGAAGCAAGCCCGTGCTCCTAAACTGGCTATTTTTGAGCTGGAATGCTCCTTTCTTTTCCTCTTACTCTGCTTCAGGCTGCCGAGCATCTCCAGCCTCTGGCCCTCAGGCATCATGGTGTGGCCAGGCGGCGTGTCAGGATCCGGCCGGCTTCGCAGCTGCTCCTCCATCTGCATGCGCCACTGATCCTTCCTCTCCAGCAGGCTGCAAGGCAGACAAAAGCTGGTGTCGGCACACCTGGCAGGAAGGTTGCCCAGGAATGGAGCCCTGCTGGTCTCCACGTCACTGCCTGAAGACCACAGAGCCCCAGGCTGGCAGCACCCACCCCCCCTGCTCCATACGCCCTTGCTGCGTTGAGAAGCACTTGGATTTAGCCCACGTGCACGGACTGGCCACCACACTTTGTGCGTGCTCAAAGGCACGAGCACATAGCATCACTGTACTGCAGCAAGCAAGGGAGGAGACAAAACTCTTTACCAGCCCAGTTGCGACAGCCATGGGATTCTTGTTAAGCCAAGAAACCGGCAAGCTTTGCATTCATTCCCCAGGCCACAGTCAATTGCTCTGCTGGCACACGGCGCCCTGGCCCCTGTGGCACACGTACTACTGGGGGACGTGGCCCTTCTGCTTGGCGTTGTACTCCTCCTGCTCCCTCTGCTTCTGTCCCAGCAGCTCAGCCAGGGCCTGCAGGGACTGGGAGCGCCGCAGCGGGGCCCGCTTGGCATTGCGAGCGTTGTGCTTGATGAAGTCAATGCTATTGCCCTCCACCTGCAACTGAAAGTAGAGAACAAGAGGCAGTGAGTGCTGGGGTGGCACACACAGGCAGCTGCTCTTGTCCTCATAAGGGACAGAGTGAGCGGCTACATGTGTGAGATGCTGAGCAGGTGCACAAAGAAAGGGCAGACCATCAGGAGCCATAGGCAGACAGCACCTACAGCAACAGCTTGAGACAGCAGGCACCAACGGCCACAAAAACCTACAGCCTGCTTTGTCAAGCTGAGCCCACGAAGCATGCAAAGCAAGAGCAATGGGGGGCAGGGTGACAGAAACCCCTGGGAGCGTGCAGGCAGTGTGCCACTCACCTTGGTTTCAGCAGCCAGCGTCTGCGGAGCCTCAGTGCCTGTTCCTGCCTTCATGCTGGCAGGACTTGGGGACAGAGGTCTGCCTGGCCTGATCCCAGGGCCGCAGCGAGAGTACGCCCGCAGGAAATTCACAGCCCCTGGGTTTGGAGGTGGAGAGCTCTCCTGGGAAAGGTGGAAACATAAAACAGAAAAACGGCTCAGCGGGGGGAATGATGGGGCAAAGAGAAACTCACCAACATCGTCTGGGGGTCAACCACGAGCCCAACCACAGGTTTACAACAGACAACAACGTGCTCCTCTGCTGTGATGTGGCTAAAGTTCTGCACACAAACCACAGGCAGCAAAGACCAAACCAGAGTGCTGACGGCAACAAACCCACAGCTGGCAACTGAACTTGGTGAAGAAGCACTAAGAGGAAGAAAAAAGATCTGCAGGAACATCCATACAGACCACAAGTGTGTGAAGCACTGACGAGGGAGTCCCTCCTTACTGAATAACACTGCAGGCACAGAAGCAGAGCGCCATCAGATAACCCTGCAGAGACACCCACCAGGGGTGGGAGGCATCTTCGGCGGTCAGCTGCAGAGCAAGGTGATGCTGGCTGCTGCTGCCAAGGAAGCAGCTGCAATTTACACCATAGAAGACAGAGGAGAAAAACTCCATGCCAGACTTTCAAGACTAACAGAACCGACTCCACCCGTGAGCAGGAGCTCCACAGAAGATGGAGATGCTTTGAAGGGAACACATCATCTCTAGGAGAGCCTCAGCAATGGTTAAAGCAATGTGAGTCAGCTCCGGGGCCTCCGAATCCAAAGAGCACAGAAACACACCACGCAGAAACCGTGCAGAGAGAACACCCCCTTTCCACAAAACAAAAGATGATCTCAATCATCCTCTGATCCTGATGATTTGTCTAACAAGAGCGTAGGCTTGTATTCATTCCTAAGGCACAGGTGGGCTTGCTCCTGCGCGTGGAAGGTCACAGAAAGCAGCAAGCAAGTTGGTGGTGCTTTCTGGTGCATCAGAAAGGAGGGACAAGGCTTCTGGAACTGCTCAGAAATCACCCTGCCAATCTTTGTAGCACCACCTCGTTGGCTCGGAGGCCATAGAATGGAGGGAAGCGGTGCAGAGATGAGGAGGAATCTGAAGCTTCAGCTCAGCTATGAAGCAGCAAGGAGGGTGTTGCTTCAATGGTGATGCTCAAGACGTCACCCAGCTTCTTCAGCGCATTCCTCACTGTAACCACTTAGCTGCATTTTGGAAAGCCCCCAACAGAGACATTACTTAAAACACCAGGAAAGAAAAAAATATCCAGAAGAAGGAAAAGAAAGAAGCCAAAAGCAAAGCAAAAGCTGCCGGAAACCAGACACCACTCGGAACAGAAACCATCCGTGTTTCAGCTCAGTACACAGTTGGTAAAACCCACTGTGTGTCACAGGGTCCTGAGAGCTGGCACAAAGCCTGCAGCAGCCTGAAGGCCAATCTCTCCTTCTCTGCCTCAGTGCCATGCAGAAAGGGTGAGGACAGTGCTCTGTGGGGCAGAAAACCACCGCCTTTTGGCACGAACCCCAGACGTGGAAAGCTGAGAAGCCAGCTGGATGCACCTCAGGACAGGGATTTTCTGAGGGCTGCTCTGCACCATGCCAAGAATTGCCCTCAGATTCCTACGACAGAAGGGTCAGGCAGGAGGCAGCAGGCAGAAGGTGTGAGATTTTCTTCTTCTGAGCTGCCAGGAGAGTCGAAGAGCCCCCTGGGTACCCACCTGCAGTCTGGCCTTCACCTTTGACTCCACGTTTTCGTATTTCTGGGATTTCCACAGAGCTTTCACAGGTTTGGGCTGGCTGCGCTCCTGGGCCCGCTCCCTCTCTTTGCATTTCTTCTGAATCTCCTTTATTCGCCTCACGTTTTCCTTCTCGTGGTCCTTGGACTCTTTCCCTGCACAGCAAGGGGAGACACAGCTTTCAGCCCTCAAACACTGCCAGCAAACGTAGGCTCCTGGATCACAACACCAGAGCTGACAGCTCCATCTCCAAAGTGGAAACAGCAAGTCCTCCCCCCTCCCGCAGACCACACAATCTGTGCATTTCCCCCCACGTTGGGAGGGCTGACCCTGTTCTGGAAGACCTCAGCTGGTTCCCCTCCCGTTTTGGCACAGCGTTTGTGGCAACCGCCATGCAGGCACCAGCTTGGGGCAATGCTGGGATATAAAGCCAATAGGCAACAGGCAGAGCTCAGCTTCACCTCCCTTCTGGACCTCAGCACAGCTGTGCTTACTCTTTGCTGGCAGACCCCCACCGAGAGAGAGCCCCTCGAGCTGCAGCAGGAGGCCGAGCGTCCCCTTCTGCCCCTTCTCCAAAAAGTCCCTTCCGCTGGGGCGGATGCGAGGCGCTGGCTGGGGCTGGTGGGCACCGCTCAAAGCACGGGGTGAGCTGGGAGCTGAGTCCACGGGGCGAGAGGTAAAATCCAACTGCTGAGCATTGCCTTCCAGCCTCCCTCGAGCTACAGAGAAAGAAAGAAAGAAAAAGCAGCTCAGCGCGATCTCACCTCGCTGTTTCCCTCAAGCACAGTCTGCAAGTCATGCTGAAGGTCCCCCTCCACATCTACCTCACGTTTTGCCTTCTTTTAACCTTCAGGATCACCATCAGCACCCCGAGGACTCACCTGAGAAAGGGCGTCTGTAATAGTTTGGGAAGAGCGTAGGGTCTGGAGGAATGGGTCCAGAAATCTTGGATGGCCCTTCACACATTCTGCTGTCTCTGTCTCTGCAATGGAAACCAACCACCAGTGAGAAGTGAACTAAACACAGCTCGCTGAGCCACTGCAGAGCTGCAGCTAACGTGTATGTGAATGGCTGACCTTCCTATTGCAGAGCTCACACCCAGCTGCAGGGACAACCTGCAAGTAGGAAACAACCCCAATGGACCCCATGGCTGCCCAAGAGCTGTGGGTGCCCATCCCTGGAGGTGCCCCAGGCCATGGATGGGCACTGGGCAGCCTGAGCTGGGGAGCAGCCAGCCTACAGCAGGGCTTGGGGGCGGTGAGGTCCTTTCCAACCCAACCATGCTGTGCTTTCACATAGGTGAGGCAAAGGAGCCAGCAGCACCGTCCCTACTGCAGGACTAACCAGCACTGATCCTGAAGCGTCTGCATTTTGTGATACCTGCACCTTCAGCACAGAAAATCCGACTCCTGGGTCTGCAATTCCAACACTTCAGAGACAGCCCTACGGGAAGAGCCCCTTTTAGGACCCTCAGAATGCCAGCACTGACGGGACACAGCATCTTCCATTTAATTTATAAACCAATAAACAATCAGCACAAGGCTGAGTGAGCCTGACTCATAGCAACTAATGCACTGCTGTCTTCTCTGTTAAATTACCCTTGTTGACATGAGACCCATTAGCAAAAAGCTATTATTCATCTCCCAGACACAACGGCAGAGGCAATGTAAGCAGTGCTGAGCACTGCACACCGGCAGGCATGTCCAGAGGCTTGTTTGTACCCAGCCAGCCTGCAAAAGCTATTTCTGAAAAGCTTCAGACTCAGATTCTCAGGCTGCAGTAAAAGAGCACTGTTCTCTTATTATTTAATCTCCTTTAAAATGGATAGAGCTAAGCCAGCATGGGCCCTTTTATCCCCCCCCCAAAAAAAAAAAGCATCACCAAGAGATTACTCCAGGATAGTTACTGGCCTTGAAACTCACATCTGATCTCGATCTGAACTCTCCTCCAAAGCCAGTAATTTAGGTGCAAAATGACAGAGTGAAAGGAGGACCTGTAACAGAGCAGGCAATTAGCGTGGGGGACTGAAGGAGGAAAGGCAAGCTGATGGGAGCTGGGGGATGGAAGGCTCCTTCTGTACCTGAACACAGGGCCCATCTCACGTCCCAGCAGCACCCTGCCCTGCTGCAGGGGATTTGCAGATGACACCCACACCCTGATTTGCAAGTCACATTGCCTCTGGGTTTGGATCTCGCAAGATTACACAGCCTTGTTACAACAGCACTCGGCCTATCTGGGTGCTCACAGCAGAACATGCAGGATGCAGTCCCAGCACCTGCATCATCATCATCGTCGTCGTCATCTGGCCTCAGGATGAAGCAGCCAAACCCTCAGCTCCCACGAGCAGGTTTTCCAGGCAGCTGCTCTGCTCCTGCACAGTGGGACAGCAGGGCTGGAGGATGGGGCTCTTTGAGAACCTGGGGGCTCCAGGGATGAGCAGACTGCATCCCACCCAGATGGAACTCCGTGCAGAGACCAGAAAGGCACTGGGCAAGCACAAGGGGAGCAACAGGAGAATGTGCCTACAGGAGGAGCAGGGCCAGCCCTTCCAGCTGGCACTTTATATGCACCTAGGAAAGCATCTCCAGTACTGCGTTAGAAACCTAAGCATCAAAAGCATCTGTCGCCAGCAGCAAGAGGCCACGGCCTCACAGCTCAAGCAAACAGATGTACGTGTGCAGCTCCTGCTCAGCGCAGGGCCGGGCTGCAGAGGGGGGCAGGGAAGCAGAGATGCTCGGAGCTGCAGGACACACCTCCCGTCCGTACCTCTTCCAGCAGAGCTCGGTGCCGCCCACCGGAGCTGCGCGCCCGGCCGGGGAGCTGCAGCCTCATGCGGAGCTGGAGCCTTGTTGTTCGGCTTTGCGCTGCTACGAGCCCGATTCTGTAAAAAGCATAGAAAAAAAAAAATACATCTCTGGATAAGCTGCGATAAGCAGAGCGAGTCACCCGGGGCCGAGCAAAGGGCTCGTGGCAATCGGGCCGTTCGCTCGCTCGCTCCCTCCCGTCGCGGGCGGAAACATCGGGTCAGAAGCACGGCGGGGGGATGGGGCGCGATAGGACGGGCTGGGATGGGGAAGAAGGGGCACGGCCTGCCGGGTTCCGGCCCCACCGCACGCACCCGCGGAGCCGCCGCGCTCCGGGCAACCGCCGCTTCCGCCGGGGGAGAGGAGGGCCGGGCCGAGCCCCGCCCGGGGAGAGGTGTGGGCAGATGATGGGCGGCCGGGCTCGGCGCGGCCCCGCTCTGCTCTCCGTCTCGCTGTGGGACGGCCGCACTTAAGGCCGCGCTGTTGATGCGTTCCCCCGGTAACGGCCCTCCCGCAGCCTCCTCCCAACCGCTGCTGAAGCCCGGTGCTGCTCCATGTCCGTCCCCGCGCAGGACGAGAAGTAAGCCGGCGCGTCTCCTTCGGGAGCCGGCTCGGTGCCGCAGGGATCGCTGTGCGTCGGTTCAGCCGCACGGCCCTGCCCCAACCCGTTCCTGTCCCGCAGGACCCACCTGCGCGCGTTGCGGCAGCCCGATTTGCAGCATCCCGCCGCAGAGGGCGATGCCGGCCCCGCTGCCGAGCTGCAGGGAAAGAGCAAGAAGAGGAAAAGCACAAGCGACTCGCAGCCGCGCAAAAAGGTCCCGCCTCGGGATGCGCTGGGTGAGCATCCATAGGGGAACGGCCCTCGTGCTGCTCCCAGAGATGGCAGTGTGCCCGCGGCTGGGCTGATGGTGGGGGCTGCGCACGGCTGGATGCTCAGCCGGGCACTGTGATGCTTGGGCAGACCTGTCCTCTCGTGTCACCGGGCTGAGGCTGCAGATCCCCAGCTAAGGGGCACCTACTGCAGTTCCTGGCTCCGGTGCTGGTTGGGGTAATGCCCTTCCCTCTCCTCTCAGGACTACTGGTGGGACTGAAGCTTTGGCACACGGGGTTTGTCAGTTCTGCCCTTTTCTCAGGGCAGGAGGTTGGATCTCCTTGGTCTTTAAGGTCCCTTCCAAACTAAGCCACTCTGGGATTCCCCTCCAGGGCGGCTGCCGCGGCTGCGCCCCTTGTATCAGTACATCAACCTCAGCACGGAGCTGATGCGCCCAGCAGAAGAGGAGGCTCAGCACCAGCAGGTAGGGCAGCTGCTCCAGAGCTGCAGAGAGAGCTCCACCAAGGTTCAGTGAGCAGGCTGGATGGTTGGGAGCCCCTCTGAGAAGATGCGGGGCCAGGCCCAGGGCACGCTGTGCCAACCAGGCCACCTCAGGGGGGCAATAGCTTGCCAGCAGGTCATGGCAACAGGGAGGGACCAGAGATGTGCAGGACTCCGTAGTTCAGCGCCCCAGAGATGGAGGCTTTGCCCTTCTGTCACTCTGGGTTTTCCCAGAGGCCCAGCCTGCCCACTGCAGGTCTGTGATGGTGGCACAAAGGAGGTTTCCCAGTTCAGAGAGAACAGCTTCAAAACATCCAGAACCAGGCAGGAACGAAGTCAGATTGAGTCAGAGTGAATGAAGGCAGCCACTCTTCCAGGTGAGCTCAGGAGACATTTTTTCACCTGCTTTACATAGCACATAGACAAAACAGACAGGAGATGCTCAGAGCTAGAGCAGGAACAGCAATCCTCTACCTGGAAAGCATTGCAGGAAGATGCAGAACTTCCACTGGTGCACCTGCTGGGAACAGTGTGTAATTTACACCCATCTGCTTTCTTCCTTCAGCCCACAGCTGATGAGTGCTCAGAGCCAAGGACCAGCTGAGTTCCCACCCTTTAGAAAAGCACGTCAGTACATTTCTTTCTGTCAGTTTGAAACTATTTTGAAAGGAAATAAATACCTGAAGGTAAATGCCTCATTTAGAAACTGAGCAAAGAACCCAGCAAACCCAGGAAGATTTTGCTCCTCAGCTTGCACCTTCCAGCTATTTCTACAACCAGACAGGCAGAAAAAGATCTCATTCATCACAACAGTCAGTGTGGGAGGCCCACGATAGACAGGGTGTCTCTAGAGCCAGTGACTCCAGAACAGCTTTAGAATGAGAGAAAAAGCAAAGAGGTGGGCATAGCTCTGTGCTGTCCAAGCAAAGGGAGCTGCCATCCTTTTCTCACCAACGGGGAAAGCGAGTCCTGTCAGCAGATCCATCTCCTACTTTGTCACACCAAGTGATCAGCCCCAGCTGGAAGCTCTGTCATGGAGGCTTCAGCTCAGCCAAATCACATGCAAGCACCCAGCTACATGAAGAACACCCTGAACAAACAATCTATTTTGTTGTTTATTTCTGTAGAAAACAAGTCAGACACTTGTCAGGAAGGACCAGCTTATGAAACAGTGGTTTGCGTGTTAACGTACATAAATACACAGGGTTACCACTTGAGTGGGAAATACATTAAAAAAAGCTTTCAAGTACACAAAGTACATGTCGTACAATTGTACTGTCCCTATCACATACCTGCCTCAGAGAGGAACTCCTCTCCAAATGAACACACTGCCACCCACCAGCTGCCAACAGCCACGAGCTGCAGGAGGGCAGGCAGGACCAGAGGGCTGATATCCAGCGTTTGAGGTTCAGGGCAGACCCCTCAGCTATCAGCATGTGTAGTGTGACAGCTTCCCAGCCAGCACATAGGAGAGCTGCAAGAGGTAGGCAAGACCTCCTTACCTCCACCATCAGATACGTGGAAGGTTAAGGTTTTACAGCTTCATTGGCAACGACATCCTGAGCCTCATCTGTGAGCCTGGGAGGGGTTCAGGAAGCCACAGAAGTGAGGAGGTGGCCCTGCAGTCACAGCTCTGCTGCTGCCAGGCTGTAAACACAACCGGTGGACGTGGAGCTCATGCAGAAAGGCTGCTGGATGCAGTCGGTGTCACGAGCCGAAGGAATAATGTCTGCAGATATGGGAGGAAAGCACAAAGCGCCACAGCCTTCCCCAGCACCATCAGCTGGGATCTCACAGCATCCTTTAAACAACACACTGGTTTCAATTAATTTGAAAGACATTTTCGGTATGCAGAAAGCCAACGGCCAATTCTTAATCTACAAACTTTACTGTGTTCCTTCTGGTCTTTGTCCTATGGCAGTTCAGAGATGTGTTACATCCCTAAACTCTTTAATAAAGTGTTACTGAGGAGTAAAACTAAATCCGATTGCAGGAGAGAAAGCGAAGGCATCTGAGCAACAGATGCTCCCAGATCCTGCTCTTCTCACTCTCACTTTAGGATTGATAAAACAAGAGGGGCCGTGTCCCCTCTCCAGCCATGCAGTGGCACAGATCCCATGCTTCACTTCACTACTGCGAGTGCAAAGGGCAATTCAAGTCAATTCTTGTCTCCAAGACAAGAATTAAACACTTGCAAAAACAGAACGTCTTAAACCGGAACAGTTTCCATCAGAACATGACATTATTTTACACACTTAAAAAACCAAGAAACTCAAATTATTAAATAGGAATCTTAAAAACCAGAGAGGATTTGTACAGCTGCAGCTGGAAGCATTCACCGTCCTATCTTCCCAAAGCAGCAACGCTCACACGTTGTTCCTTTGCAGTGCCTCACACAGGTTTTGGTTGGCGTCTGGTTCCTCCGTCATGACCTCCACAGCCTCCCACTCCCCCGACCTGCTGGATTTCTTAATGGCCTCCACCACGCTCTGCATGTACAAGCCATCTTCAAAAGATGCTGCCATAGAGACGGGCTGGTGATCCCACGTCCGGCGATCTTCCTGCTCTTGGAAAGACTGCCGCAGCGCTTGCACCATGTACACCGTTCCCTTCAGGTAGAGCAGCGGGATGTCTTTCAAGCCCTTGTCCAAAAGGCCTTTGTTGACACTCAGAGAGTCAGTGAACAGCAGTTCCTCTTGCGGCGCCGTGTTCTTCTGCCCATACAAGTCCGTGCCGCGCGCTACGAGGCGCCCGCTGGACCCCACCACCATCACCTCGTGAACGAACGATCCGGGCATGTTGAAATTGAGAGTCACGGTGCAACAGACGCCCTCGCTCATCAGCATCTGGAAGAAGCAGAAGTCATCGCCGGTGACGTGGCGGATCCCGCTGATGGCCGTGTTCTGCTTCACAAAAGTCTTGAGCAGGCCGTGGACCTTCTGCGCCCTCCTGCCGACGAGGTGGCTCAGCAGGTCGATGATGTACGTGCCCATGGTGTGCAGGCCGCCCCCCCCCATCAGCTCGTCGCAGATCCAGCTGTACTTGTGGCTGAGCAGGCTGCCCCCGTACACCCGCACGTCGCAGATCAGCACGTTGCCCACGTAGCGCTCTTCTATCAGCTGCTTCATCTTCACAAAGGCAGGCAAGAAACGGAGGACGTTGCCCACGATGCTCATCAGCTTGGGGTAATACCTGGCGGCTGTGACCATCCTGAAGGCGTCCACGGAGGTAGCAGCTTTCTCACAGATCACGTTCTTCCCTATTCCTGCAACACAAACACCAAAAAAACAGCAAGAAATGCTGACAAGCCCCCAAGGTTGCCAGGAAGCTGCAGTTTTTAGGCTTTCAGAAGCAAAGATCTGGGAACTAAAATAGGAACGCTAAGTGCGGCAAGACTCCAAGCGCTTCCAAAACGCTCAGAGCTGACAAACACCCACAGAGCTCCAAATAAAGAGAGGATTTTTACATCACGGCAGATGAACTCCGACAGGTCTTTGTGCCACTGAAGTGCTGCAGCTATAAAACCATTGGAATGGCTGTGCAGCCAGAGGAAAAAAAATATCATCACGGAGATAAATGCACTCGAAACGAGCGGAGGCTTCATTTTGTATCTCACCATCACTATGAATTTATTCACAGATTGATAGAAACTGAAGGTACTTGGTGGCCTGTGCACAGAATACAAAACTGTAACAGAAGGGAAATTAAGGTTAGATGTCAGGAAAGAAGTTTTAACTCAGGAGGTGGTGAGGCACTGGAACAGGCTGCCCAGTGAGCTGTGGGATCCCATCCCTGGAGACATTCAAGGACAGGTAGGACAGCGCTCTGGGCAGCCTCAGCTGGTGGCTGGCAACTCTGCCACAGACTGGCTGGCCTTCACAGTCCCCTCCAGCCTAAGCCATGCTGTGATTTTTCCTTAAAGTGTCTGGTATGATGCTGTGTTTTGGCTTTAGGAGAAAAAGAACACCTGGTATCATCCAACAGGCACACTGGGAAGGGATGGGGAGACAGAGGCACACACAAGGTGCCCCATGCAGCCGTCATGGCAGCCATCCTACCACAGCCCTCAGCATCTTCTCCACACACAGCTCAGAGCAACCTTCTCAGTGCAGACCATAGAAACCCTCCTAGGACACCAGAGAGTCAGTCTTACTCCCCCAGACCTATCTTGTGTTTGTCCTTATCCAGAGTCAGGTTGGTCTAATGAAACCCACTCCTCAGCTTTGTCTCTCTTAGCACGAGTTGTAACGCTGACTCCAACCACTAAAGCCATCTACCTTCTGTAAATACATCTATGCCATGGGATGGAAGCCCCAGCTCTTGATTCCCCTTAGTAATGCACCCAAGGCTGCACCCAATGCCCAACTAAACCACTGCTGAAGCAGCAGAGCATTGCTGCGTCCACTGTGCGACACTGGGAGCATCCAAGGAGCCTTCACAAACAAGCAGCTGTTGGTTAGCAGCCTCTCAACAAATGGAAGCTCATTCCAAAACGCATTCCTTCGTGTCACGTCTTGTTTGCATGTGGTTTGGAAAGGCTTCTGTGCTACCGATCACAGAGATGGGAAGCACAACATGCAAAGAGCACAGCACGCTTGTTTACCCTGTTTCAAGAACAGGAAACGTGTGTTTGTCCCAGGACAGAGCAATGATAAGAGCCCTTTCTGACTCCTTCCTCCACAATTAACATATCCATGCTATAATCTGCAGGGACTCCACGCAACCAGAGAGCCAAATAATCTCCTCTGGAAAGTAAGCCATGTAAATCAAGAGAGATCAGTGGAAAGTTCCTCTGCAGCCAATCCAGGAGGCACCACGAGGCTGGGCTGCAGATTGGGCTCCCTATGTGAAGCATTACCCACCCTGGAGAGATGGCTTCTGATGCTCTGCCTGCTAAGCCTTGCAGCACACATCACACACCACGTCCCCTCAGCCTGAACTCAGCCCCAGGCTCACCTCACACTGAGGTGCGTGCATTTCAGCTGGGGGCCATCCACCACAAAGCTGGCATTTTAGTTCCTCTGAGATCAAAAGAAGCACAAATTTTAGAAGAGCTTCTTGTTTTGCCTGTTATGGAGATAAACCATAGGATTACACTCATCTTCATTTGAATTACGTTCTGGGCTTTGATCTGGTTCACCAACTCAGTTCAGGCTTACTCCTTTACCCCTACCACGCCAGGGCTGTACCCAGGCTTGTGTACAAATGTCTGTCAGTAATTAACTTAAGCAAACAGCACAGCCTGGAAGCCACTAAAACAGCAACCTATTATCAATCATTCACAGCCAAGACTTTCCCGATGACAAACATCACTGTGTTGATCTGAACACTCAGAGAAAACACACTTGCCATCTGCCCATCCTCATTCTGTGTTCCCCTGGTGCACTGAATCACGGCAAGCTAAACAAAACTGGCTCAAGATGTGCGAAGTGAAGAGCAAATCACCCTTTCCTACTTCATCCACAGATTGGGTGGGTAGTGAGAGGAGAAGGGGGAATGGTTTTAAACTGAGATGGGGCAAGTTTAGGTTGGATGTTAGGAGGAAGTTTTTCACCCAGAGGATGGTGAGGCACTGGAACAGGTTGCCCAAGGAGGCTGTGGATGCCCCATCCCTGCAGGCATTCAAGGCCAGGCTGGATGTGGCTCTGGGCAGCCTGGGCTGCTGGTTGGTGACCTGCACACAGCAGGGGTTGGAACCAGATGATCACTGTGGTGCTTTGCAACCCAGGCCGTTCTGTGGTGTGACATTCTATGGTCTGACTCAAAGAGCAGCTCTGAAAAGAAGCAAATCCAACAGCATCAAAACCCCCAAACTTAATGCCTCTCTGCACACTGCAGGCTTCGAGAAATCACCCAATGTAAAATTATCAATTGCAAAAAATAAAACCAACAGATTTTTTGGTCCAAGCCTAAAGGCGAAAAGGTACCTAAAGCCTTGACAGCAATCTGCCGGGTGAGCGGCGGGGGGATGCTGATGCAAACCAGGTCCACGTCCTGGTGCAGCAGGACGTCGTCGGTGCGACTGGTGTAGAAGGAGACGCTCATTTCCTGCGCCAGCTGCCTGGCTTCTTCTTCCGTCGTTCCCCACACAGCCTCGACGGAGAAGCCTTCGGCTCGCAGCAGGGGGACGAGGAGGCGGGCGGTGCTGCCGGCCCCGAACACACCCACGCCGGGCAGCTTCATCCTGCGGGGCTCAGGGACGGGGCTCCGCGCGGGCCTGCGAGGGAACGCCGCGCTGCTCCGCGTTCCGCTTCATCCTCGGCCCCTACGGGACGCAAAGCGAGGCGGTCAGCGCCGCGACAGCTCGCACCGAGACGCGTTCGTTCCGCGCGGCGCTCGCTGGTTTCTATTGACGCCTTTCTCCTCGGCGCCCACCGGAAGGACCTTCGGAGGCACCGCGCCGCCAGCAACGACAGCGCCCCGCCGACCCCACCCCCGAGCTGCCCTTACCCGCCGCGGGGGCGCGGAGGACCCCGCCCGCTCCGCCTCCGCCCCGCGCATCTCCGGGCCGGGCGCGCTCCCGCGGCGGCGGCCGCTCGCTCCCGGCGCGGCCGGGCCCGCGCAGGCGCGGATGCAGAAGGCCGCGCCGCTGTATGGACCGCGCGTGCCCGAAGCCGCCCAAAGGGCGAGGGGCGGCCACAGAAAATGGCGGCGCCCTAGGCGGCTTCCGAATCTGGGGGAAGTGTGGCCAATCACGAGGCGGATCAAGGAAGAGAGGCGGGCCTTCTGCAGACGGGCGGCGCCGGCAGCCAATCGGAGGGCAGTGCGGCGGCCTGACGGGCAGCTGTAAGTGAGGGCAGCGCCTGTTGTTCTTAAGGGCCACGTGTGGCTGGCAGCTCTGCTCTCTGTGGTGGCCTGCAGGGGACCACGTCGGCGCTTCATTTTCCGTCCTTGCCCCATTTTCATAGAATCATAGAACGGCCTGGGTTGCAAAGCACCACAGTGATCATCTGGTTCCAACCCCCTGCTGTGTGCAGGTCACCAACCAGCAGCCCAGGCTGCCCAGAGCCACATCCAGCCTGGCCTCGAATGCCTGCAGGGTTGGGGCATCCACAGCCTCCTTGGGCAACCTGTTCCAGTGCCTCACCATCCTCTGGGTGAAAAACTTCCTCCTAACATCCAACCTAAACCTGCCCTGTCTCACTTCAAAACCATTCCCCCTTGTCCTATCACCATCCACCCTCCTAAACAGCCCCCTCCTGTTTATACGCTCTCCTTTGTGTCACTCCAACACAAAACACAACTGTAGCACTTGTCCAAGGAGGCAGATCTGCTGCCCTTCCCTCACACAGCTGGGAAGCATTTCCCAGTGTTCAGAAGGAACCTCCTCCTAGCCCTGCTGCCTGGGCAGACACACACCAGCACCAATTGCCAGCCACCACCACCAATGCTGGTGCAGCCTGTGCAGCTCTGTCACACAGCTCACAGGGAACCTCATCCCATCTGGATTCGGGATAACACCACCTCCAGCACCAATTCCCTCAGTGCTGGATACCTTTCTCCATGGTGGTCCCCTTCCCTGGGTAACATAGCAGATCTTCCAAGGATAATCAGTGTTCCCAAGAGCTATTGTAACTGGTTTGGAGAAAAAGGAAAAGTGAAAGAGAGGCTGAGGAAACAACAGAAAGCATCTCCCATTGCCTCCCAAGGAGATAAACAAAGCATTTGCTTACTTCACAATATGGCTCCCAAAGCACAAGGATGGCTGCAGCACAGAGCATGAACACCTGATTGCTATCCCAGCCAGCAATTTCATCGTGTTGTAAGCCAAGGCCACACAACACAGCAAAGTGACAACCTTCATCCAGCACCCAGGGGTGAAAAAAAACACAGCAAACAAAGTAGAGATTGTGAATTAAGATACAAACTGTTTACTAAGGAAAAAGGAAGAGAGAAAATATATTTTATATATATAGAGAGAGAGAGAGACACATACACACACGCATATATATATATTACCTAGGTCCTGTTGGATTAATTTGATTTCCTTATACAACAAGGCCACCTATCTGGTTGACCAAGTGAAGCCAGTCAACGTTCACTTTTTGGGTTTCAGTAAAGCTTTTGACACTGCTTCGTTCCAGACAAAAAGTCCAGCATAGAGCTAGCAAGAAATACAACATTATAGGTGAGCAACTGGCTGACTTGCCAGGCTCAGAGACTGAATGGGGTTCCATCAGGCTGGCAGCTGGTCACTGGTGGGTTTTGGCTGTATCCATCCTGGATCTCTCCACAGCAAATGATGCCTTTGTATCTTTGCTTGTCATTTTTCAGGTGTATGAATCAGAACAGAGCCAAATCCATCGCAGCGGATGCTGGATGTGGACACAGTGAGGAAATGAAGAACACTGCTCATATCCGTCACCCAGTGCACCTGATAAGAGCTAATGCCAGGTTTTCAAGCTATGGCAGCCATATCAGCAGCTGCTTGTCTCTCTTTTCTCACTCTTCCTGCTGACAGACCTTCCCTTTGCAGAGCAGCGTGGCCATCCTCAGCTCTCTATTCCTTTTGCAGTGGTTTTATTTCTGTGTACACCACTTCTGAGGCTGCAGGTATTGCCCCTGTCCTTTCAAAGATCAGCTTTGCATACGTCAGGTCCTCAGTCTGAGGCTCTGTGGGAGGCTGTAGAGGAAGACAGCAGTGAATAGAGCCTTTGGCTCTCTATTCTGCAGTGCCCAGGGACTGGCATAAGTTATTTCCCACTGTCCAGAAGAGCCTGGCTTGTCACAGAGGTTTCTGAAGCCCCGAAGCCCTTTCAGTTGGCATTCACTTGCCAGTGCTTTTTGTTGGAGGGGAGGACATGGCACATGAAAAGCTCTTACTGCCTTACCGTGCTGAGCTGATTCATCTCTGCTGCATGCTTGCTTTCAGGAGTGCCTAAAAAAAACCCAAAAAACCCCAACATTGAGTGCTGTTATTTTTAATGCACCTGCATGGTCGGGGTTTCCCACAGCTTCTTTTACCCAAGGAGCCCATGGAGAAGGTGCTCCCCAACTCCCACAGCCCAGGCTCAGCCTTACCTTTAGCATCCTTTTGCTTTCTTCTGCACAGGCACACCAAAATACAAAGCAGGAGGAAAAGAGTCACAACCACTAACCCGGGGATGGCGTACAGGTAGATGATTGCTATGAGACCTGAGGAGCACAGGAACGCGCGTGAGCTGCTGTCCCCACAGCAGGCTCCAGATTTGGACTCCAGCTCCGTGCTGGAGCCGTGGTTGCTCACCTTCCTGAATCTGAGGCTCACGGGTCGGAGAAGTCTTGGGGTCAGAGCCTGGAAGCAGGGACACATGTGAGCACCCAGGCAGAGTCAGTGGCACCCACGGGGGGAAGCAGTGTCACTTACTGGGAGCCATCCCTTGGGTGGCATTTTCAGTGCCTGTGAAGCTTCTGCTGGATACGGTGCACACAATGGGCTCTGCGCTGGCTGCGTCCATGCTGCCATGGCTGTCACTGTGATGTGCCTTGCTGTGCTCCAAGCAGTTATCAGGAGACTCTGGGCATGTCCACCACTTCACGTGCATGGTCTTATTCTCTGCCCAGAGCATGAACCTGCACAGCGGGTTCCCTGCAAGAAATAAAACAGCGAGTGGCTGTACCTTGCAGCAGATACATCCCACCAGCACGTGCTGCTTGCAAAACATGCATGTAATAACTGTGCCCTCCTTCAGCAGCTGCTGCTCCCGAGCCTCTGAGCTGCAGTCACATCCCAACCCACCGCACACAGCCCGCTCCCCATCCCTGGCTCACTCTTGCCATAAGTATTTTTGGCCTTGTGGTTCTTGCATGGGCAGTTCTTGTTTTCAGGAATGGGGCATGAGGTCTTCATCTTGCACATGTAATTTCCAGCATGCTTTTCATTCACGCTTGTAAAGGTGAAGTTGGAAGAAACATTTTCCTTGTGTAGAGCAGACCCTGTGTCTTTCTCTGCCTTCTTCTTCTTGCTTAAGGTGTCACACCACACCACCTCCCTGTCAGGGCTGTTTGGCAGACAGTGAAAAGTGAGATCTGACCCTAAGGACACGGAAGTCGTTTGTCCTGCAGAAAAAAGAAGCAGGGAAGTTGGGTTCGTGCTGTGAAATACCCACATCCTTCTTGTGAGGCCCTGAGGATGCCAGCCCCAGCCCAACCATCTGGTGTTCCTGTGGCTGTGCACAGAAGGTGGTGAAGGCACTGGTGCCTAAGGGGAGTTAAAAGCTTCTGGAGGAGCACAGGGTGGGCAGAAAAGCAGCTCTGTCCCAAACCTCCTGCAGGTGCATTATTGCTGCGCAGATAGAAAAGCTCAAAGCCACAGCAACTTCCCCGTAGGCAGTCTTGGAGGGGCAGGTGCTGCAGCCCTGAGATCCTCTCACACTCCCAACAGAGCTGAGAACAGATGCACCCAGCTGCCTGCCTGCAGGCCCCCCCGGCAGCAGCAGTGCTCCACTTCCCCCCTCCCAGGCAGGATGAGGGCACAGCACCTGCACTCACCAGCGGGCGGCCAGGCAAGGAGCAGCAGGGGCAGGATGCCCTTCACCACCAGGATGCTCATGGCTCCTTCTTTGGCCACTGCTCCAGAAGACCTCCAGCATCCAAATCACATGCGGTGGAGAGGTGGAGGCTGCATCCTCCCAGCACCAGCGCAGGCAGTTCCTTTTTCACACCGAGGTTCACTCTCAGCTAGGGATCCCAAAGTGAGCTTCAGCCCAGCTTTATCCCCTCGCTCTGCTGCTTGATTCCATCTATGGTCTTGTCTCAGGCACGTGCCCTGGGCTCTGACACAGACACACCACAGCCTGCCACGTGTGCTGCTGGTTCCACCCCACCGCTCCCAGTCCCCGGCACAGAGGGGTGAAACGCACACCCCATGGGCACAGGAGGAAGGACTTCCCCATTCCCCTCACCCCGGAGCCCTTTCCGAGCAGGGGACAGATCCAGCAGAGGAAGTGATTCTCCAGCTGACCATGGGCTGTGTTAACTTTTTGCCAGCAGACGTGGCCCTGGGAGAGCAGCGCTCGCTGTGCTCCCTCCTACCCTCCTCCCAAGTACCATTTTCTCCCGTTTAGTTTCACATCAGCATCTTACATCAGGTAGTCTTGCCAGAACGACCTGTCCCTTCTCATCTTTCTTCTGTAAGTCTCTGAATATTGTCCCGACACCGTGTCCATCAAGCTGATGTGAACAACAAACTGTCCTGATGGGCACCAAGGTGGCCGTGGGCAAGCAGTGAGCTCCGACTACCAAGAACCCTGCCTTACGAGCATTGCCAGCAGGCTGCCTTAGTGCCAGAGAGCTGACCCAAAAATGGAGCCCTGAGGAACCCCCCCAGTGACTGGCCACCAGCCTGATGGAACCCCATGTGCGACAACCCTTCAGATCTGACCCATCAGCTTACCCTTCTCATTGCAAAATAACAGAGAGAGGTCCTGCAGTGACATCTTAGTACCCTGGGATGAATGCTGGCCGTCTGCTCACATTCTTGACCTCCTGTTCCTGTACTCTCAGGAGGTGATACTTAAAAAGTGACCGGGATGCTAAGTTGTAAAGGCACAAAATGAGTTAAAACCGAGGAAGACTGCAAAACGTTCTCTGCTTGTGTAACTGCATCAAAAACAAGAGGAAGGCAAAGAGAAGGCTTAGCCTCTTGCTTAACCAGGAGGAAGAACCACAAAGATGTGACCTGGAGGAAGTGGAGGCGTTCAGAACGCTGCCTCCATCTCACACCTGAGCTTGGAGGGGTCCAACAGAGAAGGGGCACACAGGAGCAAGCCAGAGCCAAGGAAGACCCCAATAAAGAAGCATGCAAGACATGGAGTTACTTACCGTGAGAACGTGAGGAACTGGCTGAGATAACCTCTTGAAATCTCAAGGGCTTTGGCAAAAGCAAGCAGGAAACACGGGGAACTGCCTTTGCAGATTGAGTATTTTAAAATCCGGAACCAAGCCTCAGAATTACAGTTCTCAGAAAGATGCCATCACACAGGATTCATCACATGCACAAGTGCCTAAACGAATGTGGAGTGATAATAAACACAATGCCCTGCTCCCTGCATGCTGAGAAAGGGACCTCTCTGTGGCTAAGAGTGGGAATGGCAACGGGAACACATATGGAGTGGAGCAGGGAATGGATCACAGTAGGGAAAGCCAGCCAGAGCACGGGGAAAAAATGAAAAGCAAACCAAACCAAAAAGCAGGAGGAATGCTCCTGGTATGTGTGGTTGGTATGCAATGAGGAGAGAAAACAGAAGAGAATTTGGGGAAGAAGAACAGAAAGAGAGATGGAGGGAAGCAGAGTGGTGAAATGATAAGAGGAGGCAGTAAAAGGGTCAGAAGAGGAAGAGGCTGGGGGAGGAAAATGGCTCCGGCCAAGGAAGCCATTGATTCATAGAATCAAACTCATTTGGACTGGAAAAGACTTTCAGGATCGATGACTCCAGCCATCAGCCTGACTCACTGAGTCCCAACACTGCACCACATCCCTCAGTGCATTGTCAACCTGTACCTTAAATACCTCCAGTGGAACTTCACCGCTGCCATGAGCAGCACGTTCCAATGCCTGACTGCACTCTGTGAAGGAAGTGCTTCTTAAAAACCCGTGCACCCGATGCCCTGGAAATGGGGCACAGAACGCTCAGATGCCCTCAGGTTCTGCACAAAGGGCAGCTATAGCAAAGCCATTTCCATGTCCCCAGGACAGCAGTGCTCACCAACAGCCCTAGTGATGCTGGCAGGAGCAGCCGACAGCGCTGGGCTTTGCTGTGCACCAGGAACTGAAGCAGGAGAGCCAGAGCACAGCCACTGGAGGGAGGCAGCAGAGCAGAGAAGCCAGCAAAACTCCTCAGGCATGGCTGAGGAGACTGAAAACCACGCAGCGACAGCAAGCCAGGCAGAAGAGAGGCATCCATGCACCCACACCAGGGCCTCTCCCTGCAGATCCATATGCTTGCTGCAGCTCCAAGCAATCTGGAATGATTGAAGACAGGCAGTGGATTCCCAGGTCTCGCTTCGTACAGCTTGGCAGCTGTCTTCTGTCCATCAGATCAATGGGGTTTTTAATCTGTGGGCAAAGCATCCCACCCACCTGCACAGAATCATAGAATCAGGGCTGGAAAAAAACCACTGAGATCATCCAATCACCAAGGACCATCCAAGCACCAAGGACCATCCCCACCATGCCCACTGCCCACAGCCCTCAGTGCAGCATCCACCTTCTTCTCAAAAACCTTCATGTTTTCAAGGGAAGGGGACTAAAAGGATAAATACTCCTCAGAACCAGCTTGATGGCAGTGTAGTCCCACCCAGCAAATATCCACTGCCAAAGTCTGTTCCCATTTGAGGGCCTCTCAGACAGCAAAGACAAGCAATGCTGCCTGAAGAGATTATGCAGTCTTAACCATCATTAACTGAACTCTGTGGTATCCGAAAGTGTTTCCAGATTGTTTAAATTCCAGTCTTGGGAATCATGGTGAAACAAAAGCCTCTGCCACCTCCTCCCTCTCTTATCTTATTTGCCCCTGAAAGGAAAGCAGAGCTCACTTTAAGGTCTGCCTTTATCTGGGACTTTTCCCATTGAAAAACTCAGCTCCTGGCTGGGGAGGCAGGCTCCCCTCCCATTGCTCCAGGAGACACAACGTTTCAGGGAGCCCATCTCTTACAATATTCTTGCCCATGAAAGGATTTATACCAGCTTCCTCAGTCATATTTCTCCTGATCATAGCAAGATCTTATCTTTCACTGCCAGCGAGGCTGGAAAAAAGCAATGAAATCCTTCAAGTCATTGACATGGAAAGGCTTTTACCTATTTTGCTGGCAAGATGGGAGCACTCACAGATTTGCTGGACAGGTGATTTATTGCAGGATTTGAAGCTCCCTGGGAGTTGTTCAGCAAGAACCAGAGACTTGGGAGGAGGGTGAGAAAGGGATGTTGGAGGTCACTCCACCAACCTGGCTGCCAGGTAAGCAGAGTACAGAGTGCACAGCAGCATCTGCCCCTTGATCCACACAGGCTTTGCCCAGCTCAAGAACTCCCTCATGCTCATGTCTCCCTGCCAGCTTTCTCCTCACTCAACCAGAAGTAAGGCTCTTTCTGAAACCTATTTCAAATTAAAAAAAAGTGAATCTCAACATCTTGATTCTGTTTGGAAGAACAGGGTCCATTCCATTTCAAGAATTTCAAGATGCACCCTGCAAGCCAACGTTGAAAGGGTTCCAGAAGTCCCTGATGGCCCCGAGCTCAGGGGAGCGAGCAGAAACCAAGTCAAAGAAGAAACGTGCTTAAAACACCACTAACAGCAGTTTAACACAAATGCTTGACTGTTGGTCACATTTATTTTAAGAACAGCTCTTCATCCCAGATCCCTACATGAGTTTATTGTGCAACTGAGGAAGGACAGTGACAAGAATTTGCATCCTGAAGAGCAAGTTGTGTTTTCCTCCTCTCCTTCCCGAGGTGAGAAGCAAGCCTGGCCCAGAGCACCACGAGTTCCCTCATCCTGCACCTGTGAGGATGCTTCATTAGCAGTAAGAATGCAAATAAATAAAGAGTAGTCAGTATCAACCAGAAATTAAGTTATTGCTATGTTCTCACTTACTGGACACTGCGGGTAACTCACTTGATAACCACCAAGAGAGGCGAAGGTCTCAGATTGCTCTTGTGTTTTTGTTGGTCAGAGGCAGGGGAGGACAAGGTTAATTTTCTCCCTGCCTTAAGGGCAGCAGTTCTCTTAGGGGGAGCAAATCTTTGTTGCTGTGATGAAAACAGGAGCCCAGTGTCACCCTGAGAGCTGAGCCACAGCTGCTGATGCACAAAGTAAACTAAGGGTAAGGAGCAACGTGGGCTTGGGGAAGTACTGGTGAGGCTCTTAGCGTGGCACACAAGGTCAATCTGACACAGTTCCACTTCCCTCTGCTGGTGAGACATGCTGGGATGGCCAGCATCTCAGTATCGAGTCAAGGCAGCTACAGTAAGGCTTAACATTAACAAGTCTAATACATACAAGACCACTGGCCACCACAGATTATCTCTTAGCCCAAAGTTGATTACGTGTGATGAGCTCACAGCAGTGTCAATCCCTACAGTCCCTCCCCACGAGGAGTATTGGCCGGAGAGCATGAATTTGAGAGGAGGAGGAGAGCTGTACAAAGAGCCTCTGTATCTCAGGCTGATGGCAAAGCAGGGAGGTCCTTTCCAGGACGCTCAGAGATGACTTTCTTAGGCATCGTGCAGCTGGTTCTCTTTCAGCAGGATCTTCTCTCCAGGCTTGAAGGCAGGCATCCCCAGGTAAGGGCAACTGGCACAGCGGAATGCATCCCCCAGGTAGCACTGCCAAGAGACAGGAAAACACTTGTCATCATGGCAACTCTCAGTTCTCTGCTCCCGTTACATGCTTTTTCCATCTAGAGAAACAACCTGCTCCTCAGCATATGCCAGCACAGAAACCACTTCCCTTCCACCTCCTCTGGGCACGTCTTGTTTAGCAGGTAACAGAGCTGGTGCAGGGCACTGCACTCACACAGAGGAACCAAGTTTCCAGCCCAGCCCTACAGGAGGGCAGCTCTGCCTAGGCACTGCTGCGTGCTGGGCTTTAGCAGCTCCCTAACTGAACTCCCATAAGGTGATCTTCCCTAAGGAGACCACTGGTGAGCAAGTGAAGCACAGGGTCACTGTCTACTCTACCTCCTGTGAAGGTGGCACTCGCACTGTAGGCACACAACAAACCAGTGCAGAGCACAGGGGCCGTTCTAAGAGGTGAGATGGTAAAGGCAGAAGCTCTGCAGAAGCAGGCAGCGTTTTAAAAGCAGTAAGCAGCTGCTTTAGTGAGCAGTCATCAGAGAAAACTGTTCTCAGACACAGACTGCACCCTGCAAACCACAGTATACAAACAAAATGACTATTCACATTTCCACAGGCAGATTTGGGCTGCGAGCTCTTCTTCTCCTGTTCCAGCTCTTCAGCCAGGCCACACGTGCTGTAGAAAATAAAGAAGTCACTCGCATCGTTCCGATTTAAAAGCTAGCAGTTACAATCCTTGTTCCAAAACTGCTCTCATGCAACAGCCCTCACTTTGCCACACAACACAGCTGGCTCTGGGACTCTCACGCTCTGTACTTTGTTCTCCAATACCAATTTGCAAAACAAGTGTTGAAGCACACTCCTCCAGCTGAAGCAAGAAGGAAATGACTCTAAAGCAGTTAAACCACATAAACTGTTCCTCCTTAAAATCAGTGGGAATAGGATTTTAGTGAAGGCTACACAAACTGTGTAGCTACCTCTGAGAAGACTGCTGGTCACACCAGTATGGCAGTTTGTAGCAGTTCTGGCACAGCTAGCCAATGCTCACTGTGTTTGGATTTACCTTCACATAGCCAAGATAAGGAAAGGACACGAACCAAGTGAATTATGCTTTCCCACAGTCTTTTTTAAAAACATCCAACTCTAAGGTTCCATTGCTGTGAGTTAGGAGGCACACTGACATGCTAATCCCAACACTGACCAGTTCTTGCAGGCCTTCTTTTTGCCCTTTTCTTTGCAGGACGGAGCTCTGAGAGAGGCTGGATCTGGCTTTTTCAAATCCTCTGAATCCAACAGCTCATCAGAGTCCAAAAGATCCTGGAATATACCATGGAAGAAAACACACAATAAATCCAGTAGGGAATGACATTGCTGTTACATTCACAGAGACACCACTCGCTCTAGCACTAGCACTGCAAACATTCCCTCTCAACAATGCCTTTCCCTCAATTCTCACCACACCTGTGGGCACCCAACACCTCAAACAGCAGCTGAGAAATTCTGCACTGGGGGATGCTTTTGTACCTCTTAAGTTGTAAAGCTTCCCAAGAGGAATGACTGAAATTAGCTAGAGTAGAAAAGAAGAGAGAAGGAATGACAGCAAGGTCTCACAAAAAAAAATGGATACCATCTCTTCGTCATTCATATCACTGGCAGACAGCGTCCACAGCTTAGCAGTAGCTGGGTCCACAGAGGGCTTTCCTGGATCCAAAACAAAACAAGAAGCAGTAGGTACCCCAGCCACTGCCCCATCTATTTCCAGCAACAAGAGAGTTCAGACAACTTTGGAAAGCCCCACTCCACAGACATTTAGGTAGCACTCCCTACCACAGGGATGCCGGTCACTTCAGAGAAGGGCAATTCCCATGTTCAGCTCACATCACGCCTTACCTGAAGGACTTGTTTTCTTGGCAAAGGACAGTTTGAGTTGACTTGAAGATCCCACTTCAAAATTGGGTTTCCTGCCTTCTATCTGAACAATGAGAAGGTCATTGCCTTGGTAGCCCAAATGCTCTCGGACTGACTGGGCCTCCTCTGCGGTCAGAGGTTCCTTTCGCAGCTGCAATGCAAGATCTTTGGTTACTCTCACACTGAGCCCCCTTATTTCAGTGCCCCATCCACTACTCCTGTGTACACAGATAATCAGTTGTGTCTGGCTCCAGTTGCTTATCCCTCAGAACAGAAGAGAACAGAAGAGTCAGTGCCAGCTGCAGTGCAACACAAAGGGCTGACCAGCATGGAGTGAACCAGCAGGCATGATAGAAGACAGCTTCCCTCCTGTCTTCAACCCTAAAGAATAACACCACCTTTGCAGGAAGAAAAGGCTGTGGCAGACAGCATCCATGAACATCCACGGTGAACCAGGGCAGCTAAACACCTTGCTACCCATCAAGTCCTCATCTACTTTTAGGTAACAGCAGAACTCTTGCTTTTATTCTGAAAGCAATCAGTACAAACATACCTCCTTCACTTCCACCAGCCCAGAGAGAGTCAGAGCTGCAGGGAGTTTGGCTGCTGTCTTGATCCCGCTGTTGTTACCTGGAAGACACAAAAGCAGGAAATAGCAAGAAGAACAAGAACAGCGGTCGCTGAAAACCAGATGTGGTGCTTGGAACCTGCAAGAGCAAGAGACCTTTACAAAGTACTCAAACCACAGCTCTAAAGCGGGCCCCCTCCAGTAAAAGCAGGAACAGAACAGAGCAGCTTGTTCATTGGAAGAGTGGCTTGAGAACATAAAGGTGGTTCTAGCTCCAGATCTGTTCTACATACGTCAAAACCTTCCTCAACTCAATTAACATCAATATTAACAGAAAAAAAACCAGACAAACCACACACCAAAACCACAAAACAACAAAATCCCCCAAACACTTTCACATATTGCAATGAACAACCCATGAATTTTTCAAAGCATAAACTGATAATGATTGCTATATTCAAAACCATAATACTCCAGAGCCTTGCTCTAGTAGGCAATTACTCTCTGTTACTCTATTACTCACTGTTTAACCCAAAATTCATCATGGGCTTCTTCTCTTAGACACCTCTTAATAGTCCCAATTGCACTTTACTGCAAATCCACCAAAATCCCAGCCTGACAGATGTGTTTTCTGAAATAAGACACTCCACCTACTCCAGACTTTACATGTCTTAAACAAGATAAACCCTTTACTATTCACGTTAGCATTTCAGGATAACGAAAATCTGTCAGCCAGTGCTCCTGCTGCCTTTCATTTCAGCCTAATTCTCGCAGGAATTCCTTTGCTGCCACGAAAGCGAGGCTGATGCAGATTCTCTTACCTGATTCTGTCACCACGGGTTCTTTCAGGAGGACACGACCCCCAGGCTTAAGTATTCGAGCTATTTCTGCCAGTACCTCTGCACTGTGCTGCGCTGTGCTGCCTGGTACCACACCAGAGAGAACCACATCGAAACTGGACTCCCTGTGAGCCGCTGCAGAGGGAGAGATGAAGACAGTACAATTTTATGCACATACACACTCATAAATATTTGCTTAATGATCAGTTCTGCCTCTCCCCTCATCTCTCGTACCTATGTACAACAGCAGTAACTGGATCACAGAATCATTAAGGTTGGAAAGGGCTCTAAGATGAACTAGTCCAGCTGTCTGCCTACCACCAATACTGCCCACTAACCACGTCCTTAGGTATTACACATCCACATTTCGTGAACACCTCCAGGGATGGTGACTCAGCCACCGCCATGGGAACCCATGTCAGTGAATCACTGCTCTGAGAAGACGCTTTTTTCCTCATAACCAACCTGAACCTCCCCTCAACAACTCCAAGAAATTACTTTCCACCCTATCGCTGTCACCTGGGAGAAAGGCTGGCTCCTTCCCACATCCTCCTGTCAGGACTGCAGATCCACGAGCTCCTCTTCTCCAAACGACCACCCCATTCCCTCGGCCTCTCCCACAGCTGCACTCAGACCCCTTGCAGCTCCGCTCTGTTCTCTGGACACACTGAGGTGCCCCAAACTGAGCAGCAGTGCTGGTTGAAACACCAGCAGGGAACACACCAGTATTGCTGCACTGCTCTGTTGCTGTACTGCCCTACTGCTGTACTGCCAGCTATTAACCACGGCTGCTGCCTGACTTACACACCAGGGCACACACGAGCTCAGAAAGCAGAACTCCCTTCTCCTTTTAAGGCAGACAGTGAAAAACTGAGGTGGTTCTTACACTGAGACAGCTGGTTAACGTTCTCCACGGCCACACGACCGTCAGCTCCCACCGAGGCCCGGACGGAATCCACCAAGCCCTTCAGCGCTCCCACCGGCGAGGATCCGTCCCAGATGACGGCCACGCGCTGCCCTGCGGCGACGCCGAACTCCTCCATCTCCACCTGGCAGAGGAACGGAGCGCGGCGGTCAGGCGGGGCGGCGAGAGCCAACCCAGCACCGAAGCCAAGCTCCCGCTCGCCGCCGTCCCGCTCACCTCTACCCTCTCGCCCGGCGCCCCCGTCCCGCTCTGACGTCATCACGCACCGCCCCTTGCGTCACCGCCGCTGCCCGCTTCCAAGATGGCGGCGGCGGCGGCAAGCGGCTTGCGGCGTGCGGGCTGGCGGCTGTGGCGGGGCCGCGCGGGTGAGGGAGCGCGCGGAGCGCGACGGGTGAAGGGGGCGCGTGCCCGCGTGGGGCCGCGAGCGTGGCCGTGCGTGGGGCGGGGCCGGGGCGGGGCAAGGTGAGGTGAAGGGCAGCGGAGCGGTGCCGCGAGGGGGCGCTGTGGAGCTGCGGGGTCTCCCGGTGTTTGTCGCAGGGGCTGCGCGTCGCTGCCTGGGTGTGAGGGGGTGCGGCAGGGAGAGCGAGTGCCGCCTTCGTGTGCGTGAGGGGAGTTAGGAGCGGGACAGGGAGCGACTCCGTCAGAAGAGGACAGCAGGGACAGGGAGGCGATCGTCCCCCTCTGCTCTGCTCTTGTGAGGCCCCATCTGCAGTACTGAGTCCAGGTCTGGAGCCCCCAGGACAAACAAGACAGAGAGCTGTTGGAGAGGGCCCAGAGGAGGGCACAAAGGTGACTGGACAGGGGGCTGGAGCACCTCCCTTATGAGGACAGGCTGAGGGAGCTGGGCTTAATCAACCTGGAGAAAAGAAGGCTGCAGGGTGACCTCATTGCAACCTTCAGTACCTAAAGGGAGCCTATAGACAGGAGGGAAGGCAACTCTTTGGCAGGGTAGATAGCAGCAGGACAAGGGGGAATGGCTTTAAATTAACAGAGGGGAGGTTTAAGTCAGATGTCAGGACACCGTGCTTTACTCAGAGGGCAATGAGGAACTGGAACAGCTGCCCAGAGCTGTGGGTGCCCCATCCATCCCTGGAGGTGTTCAAGGCCAAGCTGGATCGGGCCGTGGGCAGCCTGAGCTGGGGCGAGCAACCAGCTTACAGAACGTGTTGGAACTGGATGATCTTTTAGGTCCATTCCAATCTAAGCCATTCTGTGATTTTATGATTTTACCTTGTGTTGGAGGGACACGTCCCAGCCCTGATTTCCCTTTCAGGACTCAGGTGCCAGCTGTATGCACCCCAGCGAGGCCTCCATGCCTCGGCTGCACTGAGAAGAGCCTCAGAGGAGCAGAGGAAGGACCCACCATCACCGTCCTCACAGCAGCAGTTTGACCCACAACAGGCAGATCCCCACCCGGAGCAGGAGGCGTGCAGTCCGCAGCACAGGTATCTCAGCTGCTCTCTGTAGTGCTGCTCAGAGCTCTGTGTGTCTCTCTCTAGTGCTGCCTGTAGGGTTAACGTGGCCTTGGCCTCGAGAAGCTGTGACGGTGCCAATGCCACCATCCATCAAGGACCTGGGATGGGACTTGCATTCATGGGGGAGCACCAGCCCTCACTGCTGGATTTCTTTGTAAATCTGCAGTTGTGGTGTGTATATGTGTGTAACCAAAGGCCCCACTGGAAAAACCTAGAGTTAGTTTAGTCGTTTTTTGTTTTGTTTATTTTTTAAGAAGTGTGTTATCTGAGGCCAGCTGGTCTCCACGTCACCATCTGGATTGAGCTTTCTCTTATTCCCCTCTCCTCTCATGGTGAAGGGTCATTAGGAATCCCTTTTGTGGGAAGGAGAGGGAAGGATTTTACAGGAGGAGGTGAGATGTCTGCTATGAGCAGACCTTGGGACGTGTCCACACACAGCGAGCAGCTGGCAGAGCCCAGGTTGCTGTGCGTGTGGTGATGTTCCCTCACTGTACCAATGCCTTCTCATAGTTACACTGGCCAGGGCGGCCAGGAGTCAGAGGACAGTGAGAGCGAGGAGCAGCTGCAGCATCGAATCCTCACAGCAGCGCTGGAGTTTGTGCCTGAACATGGCTGGACAGCTGAAGCCATTGCAGAGGGAGCCAAGGTATGTGGGAGAGAAGCAAAGAACCAGATGGAACTGAAGTTCAAATACAGCCAGGCCTGCATGCTTCCCCCACATACGCTTGGGCCGTGTACCCCCGTCAGCAGATGGTACTGGGCAGGAATGAATCCCAACTAATGCAGGGTAACACTGTCAGAATTACACTCAGGCACAACACAGTGATCCCAAAGAGAGAAAAATACATACAGAAAGAGCTTTTTTAATGCAGTATTGTTTTGTTTTAAATTGTATAGCATCACGTGCAGAATAAATACAACGTATTTCCTGGCTGGATCTTGCTTAGTGTGACCTGGTCTGTGCTTCTCCCCTTCACCTTGCAGACCCTTAATCTCTCTGCTGCTGCTGCAGGGATGTTTCAGAGCGACGGCAGTGAGCTGATCCTGCACTTTGTGTCTCAGTGCAACTCCAAGCTGTCTGACCTGCTGGAGGAGGAACAAAAACTAGTGCAGCTGGGCAAGGCAGAGTGAGTATTGGGTATAAAGAGACATCTTCCTTGGCAGGCACTAGCCATCCCAGACACACTGGATACTTTTAAGTAAAGAATGTAAAGAATTTACCCCAAACCATACCAGCTTCCCAGATGGAGAGTTAGTACAGGCATAGAGGATACGTAATACTTGGCATCTCTGTCACCGAGGTGGGAAAACGATTGATCTCTCAAGTTGATAATTGTTTATCTTGGATGTGCTTTGTAGGAAGAAGCCTATGGAGCAATTCCTGAGAGATGCTGTGGAAGCCAGGCTGAGGATGGTGATTCCATATATTGAGAAATGGCCACAGGTACAAAACGAATATAAGGATTGCGTGTGTGTGTGCGTTTAAAACACCCTGTGGCCTTCAACATGGTCTCCACCAGAATAGGTCAAGGTTGTAAGTGAAACCCTGGCTGGTTTCAAATGATTCACAGCCTTCAAGAGGACAGCAGCCCTGGAGGAACGCAGTCTCTTTAGAACAACTATTTCTTGCCTTTCCAGAAAGGCAAACCTCTCCGTTTTTCACTCCACCCATCTGGGATCCCCAGGGAATAACACTTGGGTGTCTGCTCAGCTGTATTTACAGTGTCACTGCAGTGTCAGGCTCCCTGCAGCATTGTTCTAGCAGCACTGGGATCATCTGATGATTGTAAATGCAGAATTACTGCTTTGTTGCAAGAAACTGCCTACTTACTATTGCAGGTGACAAACCCTTGACAACCTGAAGATAGCTCTGTGTACTGGGAAGCCTCTATGTTTCAAAATTCTTATGGAAGTTTTGAGTTACTCTTTGCAACATCAGAAAGGAATTGCAGCCACAGTAACAAAGTTCCCAATCTTGGGCTGCAAAGGTCACTGCAAAGTTAGCCTTTCTTGTCCAGAGTCACTGCTGGCCTCTGAGTGGCTGAACCCAGCTCTCCTGGCAGAGAGAGAAGATAGGATTCATGTTTTTTGTTACAGATTAGCATAGCTTGTCTGGTGAAGGATGTGGGTGGTTTGAAACTCTCCGGGCGTTGTTAGTATTTTCAAAGGCTGCAGGAGCTCAGGAGGGCCATTATGGCTGTCTGTTCTGCCTTTCATAGCTGCTTTGAGTTCAAAGTCAAATTCAGAGAAATGAGGTTTGCCTCCCTTCCCGCAGGGACGCAGCACAGGGGTGAGTCATCTTGGTCTGTGCTGTTTCTGTGCCTGGAGAGGCAGCTCAGGGAGCCAACACAGGAGCACTGGTGTCATGAGCACGGCTGAGTCATGAGCTGAGCTGCTGCACTGTGTGCTCTGTGCAAGTCTTGCTGCTTGGAAAGACCAGTGCCAGTGAATAGAGCTTGGAGGTCTCACTGGGAGCTGGAGGCCAGCCAGCAGCAACAAGAAAAGATAACAGCAAAGAAACATTGATCTGTTTTCACACAGCGCCCTCCTCTCTTTGACTCTTCCATTTATCTGCCTATTTCTTTCTCAGGCTGTCAGCGTGCTCTTGCTCCCACATAACATCCCTTCGAGCCTCAACCTCCTCACCAGCATGATTGATGATATATGGCACCATGCTGGAGACCAGTCCACAGATGTAAGTCCTTGCACCTTGCAGAGAGGCTCCTTCTGCCCATCCACACCTCAGGAAAATGACAAGTAGAAACAGGCATTGAGCTGGGTCTCTCTTGATACAATCCATTTTTTGAATGAAGGAGATGCTTTCCAAAGCCCCCAAAGGTCTTCAGAAGCTGTACTATAGTTTCCAACAAGACACAGAAGCCAGCAGGGCAAATTATTTCCAATGGGAGTTGTGCAAATTAAAAGGACCTGCTTTCAATTAATCAGCATTCTTTTTGGGGGAGACAGACAAAATTGTTGAGATTTTGAGACTAAGAAGTCGATCCAATTCAGTTAGCAAGCAGTTGCCTCTTCCAGCAACAGCAGCATTCACAGATTTAACTTGAAAACTTTAAAGAATCTACCTAAAAATACGAGTAGCTTATTAAAGCTTTCATCTCTCTGGCAGGGAATAAAAGGAAATTATAACCTTAGTTAAAACAATTAATAAATTATTTTAATTCATATAGATGTAGGGAAAAGCTGCATGAACCATTTAACAAACTACTTTAATAAACTTCTTTTATCTGAGTATGAAAGAGAAGTTACTGCAGTGGAAAATAAATAGAGGGCAAAAAAATAAAAATTAAAGGAATAATCTAGAAAAAGAAAACCTGAAAGACTGTGATTGCATCAGGAACTGCAAGTCCCTTATGGCTTATGAAGGTCAAACAGACTCAGTTTCCTCACTGAAGTGCTTTTGTGGGATGCTGTACAAGGAGCAGGAGTTTGGTCTCAGATGCATCGGAGATCCGTCTGCAAACAGTGACCACTCACATCGCCTTGTCCCAGTTTGTGAGGTGATGCAGACAGCACAGCTTTCCATTTGACTGTCTTCAAAATTAAATTAGTGTTTCCATTCTCCCGTTGCACTATAATCATGAATGGAACAGCCAGTATTTTTTTCTAGGCACTTGCACATTTTAATCACCGTAACGAAGGAAGCAGCGAATGAAGCTGAAGACCTGTTTTTAAACATACACATTTTGTCTGTTAGTGAATCCAGAGCAACTGGAAAAGCTGAAGAGTTGGAGGTAGCTGTGCATTTTTGCACTGTGTAACCTGTTGGTGTAATACATCCTACAGCACTGCTGCCAGCGGTGTATGACACATCCAGTGACAGAGCAGGCAACACTGGTATTCCAGCGATAGCATTTGGGAAAGGTGCATCTCTGTGATCCCTTGCACAGTTCTGTCATCACTTTGTCCCCTTTCTACACTTTTGCACCTTGTGCAAACTGCACTTGGAGTTCAGTTCTAAACACAGCCGTCAGATGTGGGATCTGAGCGTTGCATCTCCTGCTAGCAGCCTTTAAGGCAAAGCTCAACCCTCGCACAACGCAGCCGACCAGCTGGGTACGTTTGCTGTAGGTGCATGCTTGCAACTAGAAGCAGGCGGTTCTGTGGCTTTATAGCCAGTACTCACAATCTCTGCCTGCTGCCACAGGAGCAGCTGTGCTGTCAGATGTCCGTGCTGGCTGGCAGCCCATTGCGTCACAGAGGCGAGCTGCAGTTTGTCAGGAAGGAACGCGTTGTCCGAGGGCTGTTTACTGAGCAGTTTCTCTGACCAGAGGCAGTTGGTAACGATGAGGAGATGGCGTGTTGTTTTCCCTTGTGGTTCTGCAGGGCTGCTTTTGTGCCCCGTGCTCAGCTCATCTCTCTCTCCATCCGTGCCCTTGCAGTTTAACTGGTACACTCGTCGGGCCGTGCTCACTGGCATCTACAACACCACAGAACTGGTGATGATGCAGGATACGTCCCCTGACTTCGAAGACACGTGGCGTTTCCTGGAAAACAGAGTAGCTGATGCCATGAACATGAGCAGTGCAGCTCAGCAGGTAACACTGTGGGCCAGGCACACACAGCATCCCTCATGTACCAATGTGTGTGCAGACAAGGCTGGCTGTTCCATCTCACGCTTGCTGGAAGACCCCTGGTGTACTGGGGGCTGGCAGTTCTGCATCAGTCATTGCTTATGTATGCTACAGTAAAATAAGATGTAGGAGCCCCTCTTTGACTGATGTGATGATTAGGAGCTGTGTGCTGCTCCCAGGAAATCCCTTCCTTGTTTCTTATCTTCGGGTAGCCTTCATCTGCAGCACTTGGCTTATATCAGCATCTTCCTGTAGCAAATGCATGTTTGGTGGCATGTTTGTGTTTGGGTACCCACAGTGTAACTGCAGAGGAAAGCTAATTCTCCTGTCTCCTAGGTACAGTCAACTGGCAAAGCACTTGCCCAGGGCCTGATGGGAGCTGCAGTGACTGTAAGTAATGCTGAAGTCAGCGAGGCCATGAGGGCAGAATCTTTATGCTCCCTTCCACACTTAACACTAGCATGTTTTCCCTCTTGAATCTAAATGACAGCATAAAGGAAAGTTGTTCTTTGTAGCTTAAATGCTCATAAAGATGATTTTCTTGTTAGTTTGGGCCCAGATTGCTTTTCTGTGCTGAGAAGAGTTGTAATACAGCATAAAACGAAGTCCAAAGCTGCAGGATGAGCTCATGATTAACAACACGAGAAAGCCAAACTGCCTGTTGCATAAACTAGACCTGGTTTTCACTATTTGCAGCAGCTCTCAAGCATTTCTGCCTCCACCTGCAGTTACGGCTGGAGCGTGGGAGCATTTCCCAGCACAGACACAGGGTTTGGGCGGTGCCATGGAGCCAGTGTCTCCACGAGCAGTACGAGCCCCTTCTAACTCGGATTCTACACCACTGCGGGGCCCATTGCACGTTACCTGCAAAGTGCTGCACTCCCTCCGCTGCCTGGGTCTGACAGTGTCCCATCTTCTGCGCCCACAGATCACCAACCTGACGGGGCTGAACCAGCGCCGCTGAGGACGGAGCCCCGCGCTCCGAAGCCACATCGGAGCGAGGATGGAGCGTCCTTTCCCCGCAGCACCAATAAAGCCCCGCACTCTCACCTCCGCACGCCTCTGTTCTGCTTCTCCCGCGGCGGGCTGGGTGGGTCGGGTCCTCCGAGGCGGCAGGGGGCGCGCGAGGGCGGCGGGAGAGGTGCGGCGGCGGCCTAGCAGAGCGCCATCGGGGGCGGCCATGCCGTACGCCAACCAGCCCACGGTGCGCATCACCGAGCTGACGGACGAGAACGTCAAATTCATCATCGAGAACACCGACCTGGCGTGAGCGGCGCCCCGGGTGGCCCGTCCCGAAGCCGGCTGAGGGGAGGGGGCGCAGCGGGAGGGCCTCGGTGGGCGGCGGGGAGGGCCTAGGCCTGGGCAGGCCGCGGGCGGGGCTGCGGGGCGGGCGGCGGGAGCGGCGTTGGCCCGCGGTTCTGCGCGCTGAACGGAGGTGTTTCTTGCAGCGTGGCCAACTCCATCCGGAGGGTGTTCATAGCGGAGGTGCCCATTATAGGTACTGGTTTCTTTGCTGTTTTGTCTGGCGGTCGTCACGGCTCCTTTTGCCTTCACCCGGAAAGTTCTGTGTGCCCACATCGACCACTCAGCTGTCAGAGAGCAGCTTAGATTGGAGGGAGTCTTAAAGCTCATCGAGCGCCAATCCCTGCGGTGTGCTGGGTGCCCTCTATCCCACTGGAATCACAGAATCACCGAGGTTGGAAAAGACCAACAAAATGATCTAGGCCAACCATCCACTTGTCACCAGTAGTGCTCACTAAACCGTGTCCCTCAACACAAAATCCAACACCTTGAGCACCTCCAGGGTCAGTGACTCCACCACCTCCCTGGGCAGCCCATTCCAGTGCCTGGCCACTCTTTCAGACAAGTAGTATTTCCTAACATAGTAGTATTTCCTAATGTAAGGCTGCCTAGGATCCCCTTCAGTCTGGCCTTGAATGCCTCCTCCAGGGATGAAGCATCCACAACCTCTCTGGGCAGCTATACCAGGGCCTCAATGCCCTCTGAGTAAAGGATTTCTTAAATCTTACCTAGATCTACCCTCTGTTAGATTAGAGCTATTCCCCCTTGTCTAGCTTGTTCTCAGCTCATTTTGTTCTTCCTTGCAGCTATTGACTGGGTCCAGATAGATGCCAACTCCTCGGTGCTCCATGATGAATTCATTGCCCACAGACTGGGTGAGTGCCGGGCACAACTTGTCTCAGGCTGTTGCAACCTTTATCACAAGGCTGCTGTTCCTCTGCATTCCCCTCATCTCACCCAGCCGTGTCTCACTGCCCTCTTTCCACAGGTCTCATCCCACTCACCAGCGATGACATTGTGGATAAGATGCAGTATTCCAGGGTGAGTAAAGCAAAACGTCTCAGGTGCTTGTTTTGGTGGTGGGTGCTCGATCTGATGGGAAACCCCATAAATTCTTGCTGAGAGCACTTTGACATAAAGCACTTTGACCTGTGTCTGTTCCAGGACTGCACATGTGATGAATTCTGTCCAGAGTGCTCTGTGGAGTTCACCCTTGATGTCCGCTGCAACGAGGACCAGACGCGGCACGTCACATCCCGTGACCTCATCTCCAACAACCCCCGTGTCATTCCGGTCTGTGCAACCTCTGCCTGTCAGCACGTCCCCTCTCTGCATTCCCACTGAGGCTGGGGTGGCTAACGTGTGGGGTATGGACAAAAGAAGGCTTTCAGGAACATTTCTTACTGCCTGAAATCCTCACTTAGAATATCATGGGAGCACAAAGCAGGAATATTTGCAGAAAGAGTTGTGTGCCATTGTCCTTTTTGCTGTCTCATTCTTCACTTGCTGTCTGATGACATCTAAGCCACTGTGGCCTTGTTAAAGCCTTACCCTGCATCCTCATCTCATGGGTGAGGCAGCCTATTCGTCTTGCCTTGAACACCAGGAGCAGGTGCACTTGTGTCCTCCTGTTGTGCTGCTGCATCCTTCTGCACGCTTGCTGCCAGAGCTCTGGCAAGGTCAGCCCCTTCAAATGCTTGGCAGGAGCCCAGAGGCCCCCAGCTTTCTAAGTCTTGGCTCTCAGCATGGCAAGGTGTGAGGAGCCCGGGCCAGAGCAGTGCTGCCAAATGGCTCTTGCCCAGTCACCTTGGGGAGGGTTGGCAAAGCTAAAGCAGAGCAGATGCAAAGGGGCTTCATGGAGAATATTTGAAAAAGCTGTCAGCTGGAAGGGCCCTGCTCTAATCCTGCATCCAGAGGTCACCACAGCCTGGGGGCTGCTTCTGGTGGTGAAGATGGTTCCAGAGTGCCTAATTAAAGCAATAGATACAGCTTGCTGTCTCTTGCTTCAGCTGTGCATCATCTTCCAGCAGTATCATGGGCGACTGAACTGTTGCAGAACCAAGCAGCTGCACTGGGCACAGGCTGTGACCCTCTTCATCCTGTGGGAGAGAGCAGTCTGGTGGAGCAGAATATCACAGAGTTGCAGCTGTCTAAATTGCCCTGATTTCCATTAAATAGGGTGTGCTGTGTTTGTTGCTGTAAGTCGCTCTGCAGTGGCTCTCTGCAGGCATTTTGTAGGTAATGCTGTCCGTGAGGTTGGCATTTTGATTTGTTTCCTTGCTTTTGTTCTCCTGCAGGTAACATCTCGGAGCAGAGACAACGACCCCAATGACTACGTGGAGCAGGATGGTGAGTTGCATTCAGCAGGGAGTCAGAGCTGCTGAAGGAAATGAGTTTTCCTCTCAGTCTCTCTGAACCCCATCCTTTGTTTACTAGTTGTGTAAACCTGGAACTGACATCTAAAACTGTCACCAGCATCAGCAGGGTTAGCATTTTGTGTTAGTAAACAAACAAGTGTCCTGTGTCAGAGAGCACTGCTCTCTTCAGTTTTGAGAACGTAGAAAACAAAAATGCTAAGTGCTGCAGCATGTATTTCGGGGCCTAAGCTGTGCTTTTGGGTATGCCTGCAACTTTTATACTTTGCAGGATGTTCCTTAGCTACTCTGGGGACATAGGGAGCCCCTCTAAGAATCCGAGCAAGGCCCGGCTTCTGGTGACACGGTCCTGGGCACTTATCATTCCTGCCTTTTCCCTTGCGCCATCCTGCACGCTCATTTCTTCTCATCAGCCTTCTCTCACTGGCTTTTCTGTAGACATCCTGATTGTGAAGCTGCGGAAGGGCCAGGAGCTGAAGCTGAGAGCCTATGCCAAGAAGGGCTTCGGCAAGGAGCACGCCAAGTGGAACCCCACAGCAGGGGTGGCCTTTGAGTACGACCCAGACAACGCGCTGAGGCACACGGTGTACCCAAAGCCAGAGGAGTGGTACGTCATGGATGGCTAAAGCACATGGCCAGGCTGGCCCTGTTTGGGGTGTGAGATGCAGCCTGAAGGCCAACCTGCAATATCCAGTGCAGTTGCAGCTGTAGAGCTTCAGTCTGACACTCGAGGGCTGCTGAACCTAATTGCTGCGTGTCTCTGTAATCTTTGTTTCACTGCTGTTGGCCCCCTGGGGTAAATGAAGGCTGCATCAGTCAGGAAGGATTTGAGAAGATTTCCCAGGTGACGCTCAGTTTCCCCCACCTCCTGAAGAGCTCCTACACAACAGTCAGATGCTTTGTGCAGGGAGAATGAAGAGCACCTGAGTAACAGATAAACCAGCCACATAAAGCTGATCCAACCACCCACTTGCATTAGAACCTGTGCCACAAGAAAAGCACGTGAAGTATTAGTAATTGGCAGTTACTGGGTCTGTTAGTTGCCAACACAGATGAACTATTTGGAGAGACCAAGAATAGTGACAACCTGGGCTGTGCTAATTGCACCCTTGTGGATTTTGTGATCTCAAACAAAGAGTACAAACAGGACCCTTAATTTTAGGAGAGCAAATTCTCAGTTTTGTAAAATATTAATGGGTGGAACCCCCTGAGGAATTGTCCTTGGGGATAAAGGAGCAGAAGAGAGCTGGCAGCTCTTCAGAGATGTTTTTGTTAGGACATAAATTCCCATTTATAAAAGGTCAGGCAAGGAAGGCAGGAGACCAGTGTGGCCGACCTCCTGGTCAAAGGAAGGAACTACATAGGCAGTGGAACCAGGGCCACGTATCCTGGGAAGAAAATAGAGATGCTGCACAGGTGTATAGAGATGGGTGTAACAGCAAAGAGACCAACACAATAGGAGGACATTAGAAAGGAAAGAAGGGAAGTGCTCACCTGTCTCTGAAGATCTAGACTCACAGTAAAAGCTCCACAAAAGAGGAATCTCCAACCAGAGATCCTTCCCCAGTGGCAGCCAGGTCTTAAATGAGGTCTAAGAGAGGTACAGCCAGGCTCCACCCCTTCTTATCACACAGCTGAACTGCATTCACCTGTGCTCCCAGGACTGACCAGGCCCTTTCCCCAGGTGCTCCATCAGTGCTTCAGGAACTCAACAGTTACTGTACAGTTGGGAAAACTAAGGAAGACAGGGACTTGGCTGGATAGCCACATTGAAAGAGTTACAGTCAACACAGTGTCCAAGCAGAAAACGTACAGCTTCAAGGCAAAGGGACTGAGTGGTCTTTAAGGGTTCCTTTGAAGCCAGATCATTTTGTGATTCTGTCATTTTAGCCCAGGGCATAATTTGGGTCACTAAGTGTCACTTTTTCTTGTACAAACTCACATCTTAGTGACCACCCAGCAGACATGCTGCCATTGAGCACGCTGGAGCTGGCAGCAGAGAGGCACGGGGTGCTTCAGGAGCTAGAAGGGACAGCAGATGAGCTGCTGTGACTGCAGGGCAGCAGGCAGAGCTGCACAAGGTCGGGAAGACCTCAGTGCAGAAGCAGGATTTGGTGCAGGGACTGCAGAAACCGGGGGGAACAGAAGCTTGAGCGGAGCTGCAGCTGGACAGGAGGCCGTGCAGCAGAAGGGGCTCAGCAGGTTTTCCTCCTGCCCAGGCCCCGCATTGCCAGGCTTGACTCCAAAAAGGCCTGTCGCTCTTCCTCGCTGTCTGCTTTGAGCCTGCACACTCAAACGCATTGCCTTGTTTATGTTGCCCCTTGCTAAGGCAGCTGTCAGTAAAGGAGCTACTGGGAGCAGCAGTTAGCCTGTATT